ACTTTAATTTTAAAACTTGAACAATCAATTTTAATTTTTGTAAAGACATATCGATATTACAGGTGAACGAACGATTATACAATTAAATCTAATTCCTATATTTTTATTTTGATAATCTGGAGTCATCTGGATACGATAAGCTTCGACGAAACTTTAGCAAACCACGGTCAATTAATTTCAAATAAGAACAAACAGATCGTTCTCGACTATAATTATTAAGAAAGATCCATTCCATATGTTTTTCCACCAATTGTTTCGCAAACTAAATCAAACTTAATCAAACTTCAATCAACACTTTCAATCTCAAAAAATTTTTCCTAATCACCTCTTGTTCATCGATCCAATACCGACTCGATTCCATTCTCCAGCAAAATCTCAACAAACCCTTCCATCGAAACATCGTGTTAACCCCCGTTGTAACAACCCTTGAAAAGTAGAAACGAGACAAGGGCCGACAAGGGCATTAAGAGAAAGTTGTCGACAATGGATCGAGGGGTAGGGGGATGAGTTTAGCTTCAGCCCTCGTGACGCGCTTATCAACGTCCACTAACGCAAAATGGCGCGCGGAGGGTTGAAATTGCCTCGTCGTTGCACTTTCCATCGTCCATTGTTACCGCGTGGACACGCGAATTTTCAGTCACATTTAGAGAGACAACCTTTTTCTCTTTCCCTCTTTCTCTCTTTGTCACGTTCAGCGAGAAACTAAATCGCTTTCAGCTCTCAGTAGCCGCGCGTTAATTATAACCGATCCGATCCCATAAAGCGGCCGAATTTATTTCCCGAACACGTTCGAGCCGGGGAAAATTATTTCGTCAAATAAATCTTGGACGTGGCTATCGACGCGTGGAAACGAGAGCGAGAAAAAGAGGGAAAGCGCAAGCGAAAAAGATCGAGGAATAGAAAGAGATATTAAACGCGGATACGCGTTTGAACACGTTCGAACAGGTTCGAATACGTTTGAAGGGTTTTTTTCGAGATTCTTTTTGATAATTCAACTTAAGATGGAACAGAACTGTTATGTATTTTAAAATTAAACCAATTGTTTCAATATAACATATTTTAGATGATTTCATTATAATAAATCTTCTGTTGTAATTGTTTTATGCTTGTGTTAAATGCCACTTTGGAGATATTCAATGGTTCTAATAAATTGTTTACTTTGTTTTGTAGTAATGCAACTCTTGAAAATTGAATTGCAGAATTTTTTTATCGTCTAATCAATTCTCTGATATATTTAATTAGTAATTTATAATTGTTTGTTTTATTTTTATTTTTATATATTCAATATCTCGTTCTTAATTCTCTCGTTTTTAAAACTCGGTTTCCGCGCGTGTATCGATCCTACGTTGGACGAAGCTTCAATGCAAAAGAGCGTGTACCATTGTTGAACTAGGCGGAATACTAAAAGTCAGGCATTAAATAAGCGTGGCAGAATTCGAATAACTAGAAACATTCGTGTTTGGAGAACAAGAGGTTGACTAACGACTAAAGTCGAGTAAATAACCCCATCCTTTTCCTCGCGACATTGCGGTTCATTTAAACCTTGGGCAAAGTCCTCAGGGATTCTCGAGGGCTTCGATCGAGAACATTTCTCGAATCGTGAACGAATGGTAACCACGTTCTTTCGACTTGTTTTTCTTGAACGAGTGTACTTTCCACTCCAATATCATTTTTTCTTTTTTTTTTTTTTTTTTTGAGAGAGATTTCGATAAGCGTCTTCAACTTTTCCTCACGCTTGAAGAGTTCGAGTTTCGAGTTAAAACTATGTTTCTCATTCGTTCTTTTTAATAAATTAAATTTATTATTATTGCTCTCATTTCTGTATACTTCTTCCCATAAATATATATGTATATCAATTTATTCCAAATTATTTCTTTTTTCCTAAGTTATAGAAAACTTCTATTAAAAAAATTGTAATAACAGATAACGTAAGACATTCTTTTATATTTTTTACCATATTTGATCCTTGAAAAGATTCATAAAATTTCTTTCTTTCAATTATTCAATTCACCGATCTTTCTCAACTTTTTAACTTCATCGTTCCAGATTTTTCGAAATCCTTATTTATTAACATTCGTTAAAGGATTAAAAGAACCAATAGCAAGATTTCCACCATCTTCCTTCATCTTTCCTACGATATCATCTTGACGATCAAATTATACTTTCATTAACCCTAAAAATCCGCTGATCACTCTTCCTCCGCGCTCTTCATTTCTATATTCAATTTCCGGTTCCACCTTCGATGGCCTTCGATATCCCGTTTTGTTTTTCAATCAACACCCACCGCTGCAACTATCTGGCCATTTCACATTTCAACGACCCTAGGCGAGCTCGCGGCGGGGAATTAAATTTATCGAGATCCATCGAGATACATATCCGGCCAATCGGCGTGGATGAGGAGGAGGGAGGGGGGGGGGTTGGGTCACGCGATCCCCTCGTATGCAAATAAATCGTTATCCCGCGGTATTTGTTAAATCAACCAAATTATTCCGTTAAATCGCGCCACCGCCGCGCCTCGACACGTTTAATCGATCTCGATGAATTATATGTTTTCGATCGTGGGGGGTGGGAAGATGGGGAGAGAGCCCCCCCCACCTCCGCCCTTTTCTCGCTTTTCGATTATTCGTCGCAGCTCGAATCGACGGGGAAAAGGGGATATTTTTCTTTATTTTTTGATTTTCTTTCTTTCTTGGAACGATCGAAAAGAAAGAAAAAGGATGTTTGAGAAGTTCGGTTGGTTCGTAAAATAGGAGGATATTTGAATAAATTTTTTTTTCGTTCGATAAATCAAAGATTCGAAGATTTTTCAAGGGAATATAATTTATTATTTTTGGATCTTTTCTTTCTTTTGTTTAAGGAAAAATTGGCCGAGTATATCCGATTTTCTTAAAAAAAAAAAAAAAAAACAAGGATTGAAGCCGAACGAAATTTTGTAAATATTTTTCTATCCATCTACGTTCTACTATATTTTAATTTTGCAAAATTTCCCGCTGAGAATTTGTATTCTTATCCGAGATATTCGATATGACACATGAACGTGAAAATTCAACGCGGAGAATGGGAATTTTGCACGTAATGTCGAACAACTGGATGGTTTATGGCTTGAATTTCTGCATTTTTACAAGTGTTATATATTGAACGTTACGCTTACAAACTAATACAATATCTATATGTCTTATTCATATATTCTTTTTAACGAAGTTAAAATAGAAATCTACTCTCTCCCAATAAACATAGAATGGAATAGAAAAAATTATTTATACAATAAAAAAAAAAAAGAAAGAAAAGAAATAAACTAAGATCAAAAAATTTCTTCTTCCAATTTTACAAATTTATATATATATATATATCCATGCACATTGTTTTACTCGAAATTTCACTTGAAACTTTTCAAATCGACTCCATCCGTCCAAATGTATTACATCCCTTCGATATCTGTTTTACATTTATAGCGTCTTTCGCGCGATAAATTTGACACCCCGAAATCGAATCACTCGTAATTTAAAAGATAGATAGACTTTCGAACGTCGAATCGATACTCCCACCAAATTGGATCTTCTTCAAGATTTTCGTTGGTTTGATTCTTCGCTTGTAACGAATTGCGCCCCATTAAAATCCTGGACAGGGAGGTTATTCGAGGGGGAGAGGAGCGATATATAAGAGGTGTAACAGAGGAAACGGCATTCATTAGTTCCTCGTCAGACCTTCCATTCCATTATCGTTTCAGTGGCCTCAGTGTCTTCTCATCTGATTTATACCCATCCTTCTAAGTGAATATATTTTGCCACCACGTTTATCCACTCGCGATAGACAGTTATTGCCTTGTTCGATCGTCCAATTTTTCAGCCCACCCGTTAAATCACGAAGAAATATCGATTAAATAAATATTATTCAATTTATTAATAATCTATTAATAATCTTCAAAATAAATATCGAAATTATTTTTGCTCGCGAAATATTTCTTTTATCATCTAAACTTCAAATAATCGAACAGACCATCAATTTCGAAGTCATCCATTCTTCCCTACGATATTTCATCCACTACAAAAATACCACAAATCCGACATGAACTTCACCCTCTCTTCGAATTTTTTTTTAAAAATTGTGTAAAACAGAAATAGGAACGAAGAATACATAATGGTTCCCCTAAATAATATCTCTATAAAACGTTGAAATAAAATATTTCGCGTATAATTTTAAAAAGATTCGAAAAATTAAAATTGTGCACGAACTATTAATCACAACCGAACGATCTATAAAATATAAATAAACACCCTGAATAACGAAAATTTCACGAGAAGAATGGAGAATCACTCGAGGAAACGTAATTAACCGGAAACGAAGTTGAGAAGACATTCTGAAATCGAAAACGTCTCTGGATAAACCATGGAGGATTTCTCGACGAACGTATCATCCCCGCGTTCAAACGGGGGATGAAATAATTAGCGAGTCGGCGAACCCATTTGCCCCGAATCCCATTTACCCCCTCGACTCTTGTTTACAAACACGTGCAACGGCGAAATAATTCGTTCGTTTGCGGGAATTAATTACGAATTATAAGCGGAACATCAAATTGCTCTAATTAATTAATCCATCACAATGGGGAGAGGGGGTGTACGCGTTTGCCAATACATCGGGGCCGGCATTAACAATTCACCCGCGAAATATATTATTACTCTTCCGACTACGAAAACTACCACATCAATTCTTCATCTCTCTGGTGGAGTCTATAACTAAAAACCTCGTCCCCAAAAATCCACCCTTCGAATCACCACCCTCCCTTTCCCCCCTCAAACAATTCTAGAGGGCAAGAAAGAAAGAAACAGCTCGTGTCGACAGCGAAGCGAACACCTGAACCTGAGGGGGTGAAAAGGGGTAAATGGAACGGAAGGGAAGGTGGTTGGAAGAAGGGTGGTGGTTGTTCGCCTCCCTTAATCATCGAGTAAGGTCACGTAGCTACGCTCGTCGAGGACAAGGCGAGGGAAAGAGAGTGTACTCACGAGATCCTTGTTCAACTTCCACGTAATGGCGGAGGCTGGCCTCGAGTTGCCCGTTGTGCAGTTCGCCCGTAGCAATTCGCCCACGGCGATCCTCTCCTTCTCGGTGTCGATCGTCGGATCCGTTTTCGGCGCGTCTAAGGGCACAATGGCAATTAAATCGTTTAGATTACAATTAAATTCAATCCCCTTTTCGTTCTTTCAGGGAAAAAATTATATCTAATCAATTATATTATAATGTCTTATTCCACTCGATCATTCGATCACAAATGATCAAAGCAAGCAAATGATTTAATTAATTTTTTCCAAATCATCTCTCTTCAACAACTTCATAAAAAGAGTATCGAAGGGTGATCGAAGGGGGGTTGGATTTTTATCGGAGGAGAGGGGGCAGGGAAAAGGAGTTCCTTCTTTGGGTGGTGGCGGGAAAAGTTGCCACGATCCGACATGAAAATGGGACGCACGTAGGGCGGCACGTGCGCCGCATTACAGGGGAGGCGCGATTCAGCAACGGAGGAGGGGGATTTGTCTACCCTCGGTTGGAAAGTTTTTAATTCTCGGCCGAGTTGAGCTCGGGCAAACCAACTCACCCACCACCTCCATCCTGGCCCTTTTGATCTGCGCGTGATACGAGGGTTTCCCGCCCATCACCTCGCACTTGTACATCCCCGTCATCTTCCTCGACACGTCGACCAGCGTCACGTCGTGCGAATTCGACTTGGAAATCTGCGAAACAAATGAACGGAAAGTCGCGATCAAGCACATCTTTTTTTTTTTTTTAATCTTGTATGAAAAAATTCATTCGAAATTTTTCTTCTCTTCTTCGTAATTCCATTTTTCGAGAAAAATGTTCCAACTCGAAGTTGGAGGAAAACAAGAGGAGGAGGAGGGGGAGAGGGGATTTTCCCGCATTTCGACGAACTTGCCGCCGCTTCAATTTGGACGAAGGGACCAAGTTCTCGCTCGCTTGAAACAACCTACTCACGCTACGGGGAGAGAAATCTGATAGCTAGGAGGAACTTACTTTGCCGCCCCCCTTTCCACGCTTCGTGATATCGTTCCTCAACCCGGAAGTTGACTCGACTCGACTCCACGGTTCACGCTGGAAATGTATTCTTCCATCTCGGTCGGCAAATTCTTCCCGCTCGAATTCGATTAATTCCACCGTGGTATATATTATCCTCGATTCTATTTAACTTTTTCGGAAAATCGTTTTTCCCCTGAAAAATCGGCCGAGGCTTCGGATCGATCCGTCTGGGAGAAGATCCGGGGAAGATTCGAAGATTGTTTTTCTTCGAGATTTACGAAGATGGTTGGGTAAATGTAAATTGGAATTAGGGGTATTCGAAGATTTCGATTCGCGATATTTTTTATTATTATCAAGTGTATTTCGAAAGAAATTTATAATAATAATGTAAATTTCCAATTTCACTTTTCGTAAATTTCTAATAGATAATAAAGAATCCGTATCTATCATCCGTTGGATTCTCACCGACACATTCAACGTAATAATTAACATAATTTTAGATATCACTATCTCTGTCTGCTCCCTGTTTCGCATCGAGGCACAATTTCCAGCGTAAATCCACCCCCCCGATTAAATAGCTAAATTCAATTCTACCTAATGGCCGGTTAACACAGAAATTCCCTCCTACGTTACGCGCATCATCGAGAAATTATTCAATAATTACTTCATAATTATTCGATCGAACGTATTCAATTAAAATAAAAATACTAACTACGTGAAAATATCGAACTGCATCACTGCACACGAAAAGCAATAACGAAAATTTCGAAATTTAATAAAAAAAAAAAAAAAAAAAAAACAAATCTACGAATTTTCGTTCGATAGTTACCCTCTTCACGAGTATAGTAAGTCAAGCGGTGACGTTTCTTTCGTCGAGGCTTCCGCCATCAGGATCGGCGGAAACGGTTGAAAAGAGCTTGTATCCGGTGCAGTTTGTAAAGCGGCCGAGAGGAGACGTCGCGATGCATATAAATGATTGCAACGGAGGGGAGTGGAGAATACAGTCCGATCGAGATTTAGACGTGGGGAGAGGGTTAGATGGAAGGTCGATAGCCGCGTGGAATACAAAGTAATTCTGGCCGGGTTGCTCGAGAGAATCGAGCCGGGAAATAAAAGGAGACCAGCCAAGAAAGGAATTATACGCGTTTCCGCGTTGGAAATTTATATAAAAAAAAAAAATGAGGGGATAGTGGAGGTTATGCTGAGGAAGTCGTTATCGATGTTGGAGATGCATAGATGTATACGTTTTTTTTTTTTACTGAGAAAATGTCGTTTCTGTCTGAAATTGATTTTACATTGAAAGTGAGAGTGTGAATTAATATGGAAGATTATTCGAGTACGTTGAATATGCAATTTTGTTACATTAGATTAGAGGACAACTTCTAATTTTTAATTTGGATCTGTATAAATGTGGAAAAATGATTATATATACTACACTTTTATCAGGTTGATTCTGTTAAATTTTGGAAATTAATCTGTATCGTTATTAGAAATGAAATCTGTTTCCGCGATATCATTCGAATTGCGAGTGTATAACGTAACATGACATAATTTTACGAAACGTAAAAGGATTAATATATATATATGTATATAGAAGTATAAATATACCCACAATCAATTCGATGTAAACACGATCACGTGACTGCAGAGAGGGTAGCTCATTAAATACGAACCGTTATAAAACGTCAAACATAACCTGCAAAGGATTAAATTATCTTCATATGGTGGATGATTTAATACTGTTTCACCAAACTAATCCCTTCATTAATCTTGACATGGAATGTATAATTTCGCAAAATACTTCCGAAAATTTCTCCTAACATTTTATCACGATTCGAAAGCACGTATGAACGTATCGAATTAGAAAATCCGAACATAACCTCACTTTTACTCGATTTATAATACTTTCATTTTAAAGGACGCCGAGTTGAAAATTAGAATTTTTAACTTCTTTTTTTCAAATTGACATAACATTCGACGACAAAATGGCTGATAAAATTCCTCCAATGGCAAAAAAAAACCTTTTCTTAAAAATCTTACGCTTCAAAGTAAGTAAAGTTACATTCGATATTTATTTCGAATTAATTTCGAATTAATAAATAAAACAGAAGATGTTTCCAATTTGATATGTTCGAATATTGGGCCTTCAAAGACGATCTTCTTTATACATTATATACACGTTATCTTTACATCACTGCGTAACACACGATCCAATCGCTTTGGAGATTTACGAACGACTTGTCGCGTGGTCGATACGCCACCTTGTTTTTCCACCCACTCTCCAATCCCCTTTGGGTTATACATACGAGCGCCATTTCTATGAATTCTTGTCGGGAGCCGATCTCTCGCCATTTGTTTGCCGTATTCGAAGGATAAATCAGGTTTCGCTCCACAACGATTTTATCAAAGAGATGGTGTTCTCAGTTTGTGAATAAACGCGGCGTATCGACTTTTTTCACGACTTTTAATTTTTATTTCTGCTAATTAGAAAGAGATAAAAAAATATTATTGAATAAAATTAATAATGTAAAGATAATAATAACAATCGAAGATAGAAGAAAGGATTCGAGGATTGAATTTCTTTCGCTCGAAATAATCGAGTAGTTAGAAATAGGCGCGCGATACGTTGAATTCGAATAATTGAATTCAAACAGAGATAGATATCGAAATTTTTCTCAACCGATGGCCATCCGAGCTATTATCGACTCAACAAAATGGCATCGCCCGATAAAGAAAAAACCATTTCTCGGTCCCATTCTCCCGGAAGTCGATCTGCAAATTTCATTAAAGATCCATATCGGCGATCCTCGAAGGGGAATGAAAAATTTCTTTTCCAATGTCTCGAATTGATTCGAGGTTTCGAGGGCCTCCTATCTCGTCAGCATCCGTTCGCCATCATTGGCAAATAGTCGGCAACCCAATTTATTCGAAAAAGTTCCCTCTTCTTCCGAAAGAAAGAATTTTTCGTTTTTCCATATTTTATTCATTCCTCCGCATCGCCAGAAATTAAATAGATTTTTCAATTCTGATAAAATACACTGTACGCTTTTTAGTTGGCAATATTTACAATCTTACGTATCACGAATAAAATGATATTCTATTTAAACTTCATTTCCCTTCGTATTTGAGAATTCTAAATACGGGACAATTGCTATCGAACGAAAATGTTTAATTTTTCAATTAGAAAAAAAAAAAAAAAAAAGTGTTTTTTATCCTTCTATTCTCTTTTGTCATTTCTTTTTTTTTTTTTTTTTTTTTTTTACACGAAGGCCTCGAGGGTAAATAAAGCCGAAACACGAGCCGTTTGCCTGTTTATTGGCTCGAAAATCGTTCGATCGGATTTTGGCCAGCGATACTATGTTTGGAGAACGTGTGGCCATACCTCCAGATCCGCGGATCTTTTCAAGCGGAAATAGCGGCGCTAAAATAGAATCTAAACGAGGCTCGAATGCACCCATACTCGGCCCTCCCCGACTATTTATTTTGTTTATCGCCCCTCTCGATTTTGCAAATTCTCCACCATTTCTTCCCCAATTCCTTTGCAATCGAGCAAACTTTTCAAACATAGATATAATACTCCATTGTATTCCTAATAAATTGGATATCCAATTAGTGACAAGTTTCGATCGATCGATTGATTAATATTACCTGATAAACAAAGATTGAAAAAAGAAGAAAATAAAAATTTCCTCCAAGTAAAAACGGCAACAAGATGTTCGAAAAATCTCTTCTGTATTATTTCACAGCTCGAAGAAGAGGAAACAAAAAAGAAAAACTTGGGGAATAAATTAAAATACACACACGAAATTAATAATGATTCATAAATATTGATCGATAAAACTATCGCATATAGCCGGCGATAAAATATTCAATCTCGTCCATCCAAAATTTCACTCCCAAATTTCCTCGATCGAGAAACCACCCTCACGAACGAACCACGCCAAAATACCTCGCCTCCCGAATTCCTCGCGTTTAAAACGGAAAGCAGACGTCTCGAAATATCCCTATATAATCCCTAGGATGTAGAACGAACCGCGGCACAACAAAATTCAAAACTCATTCCTCCGATAAAAGTTGACTTCAACATTCCTTGCCTTATACAACAAACAAACTGTTTGGGAGGGGAAATTTTCGCGGGAAACGCGAGTTGGAAAGTTGAGGTAAAGTAAGAGGCAGGGAGTCCCGATATCGAGTGCAGTCGAGGATAAATAAGGGGGAGGGGGAGGCTTCTTATCTTCGCACGCTTTCGAAATGCGCGAGACTGATAAATGGACGTCGCCACTTCCCCTCTTGGAAATTTATCAACCGAAGCGAATCCTCCCTCGTTCGAGCATTTTTTTTCCCTCCCTCGCTTCGAAACAGAGAGAGAGAGAGAGAAAGAGAGAGAGAGAGAGAGAGAGAGAGAGAGAGAGAGAGAGAGAGAGAGAGAAATATATATTCCTTCGACGCACGGTTAAAAGGGGGTGTAACCACTCTGGCCCGAATTTCTATCGAATTCCTGGGCTTTTTTTACCATGGAGAGGGGGGAGAGGGTTGTTCGTTCGACGAATCATTTTCTTTTCTCTCCCTTTTAACGGGTAAAGTTATTGGGTTTTTTCTTTTTATCATATACGAATTTTGCAGGTTTAATTTTATAAATGATACGTTGTTTCATTTATTTATTTTATATTTTTTCGGAATAATGGAAATTGTTGAAGATGGAAAGTTTATGGAAGGAGAGCGGTGAAAGGTTCGTGGAGAAACCCCGTAATACATCGTAATTTCATTCGCGTTTAATGGAGTTATGTCCTTTGACCCGTCTCTGACTCCATTATTTTCCATTTATTTCCCGTTTACTTATTTTTTTTTTTTTTTTTTTTTTTTTTTTAACGTGAAACNTTTTTTTTTTTTTTTTTTTTAATCGTGAAACGCAATTCGTCCCTTTTTCTATCACCAATAGCGCGTTGCATCGAGCGTGTGATATCACCACGCTTGCTTCCCTCCTCTTTTCGGGATGTGTGTTAAAAAATGGTTCAGATAAAATATTGAACAGTTTCAATCGCTTCATCATTTAAATAACGTCACGTCTCTCTGTTATAATTGTTATTACAGCCAATTTAGGAGAATTATATTTTCATACACAACGCATTATTGATCAAGCCTTGAGATTTATTATTTTCATTCTTTGCATAGAGAGAACAAATTACACTCAAATAAATGTTATTATATTATCTCCTTCACTCAATTCAAAACAGAATTTAACTAGTGATACAACGCATCAATTTTCAAAATTCTTTCTAAAAATATCAACAACTTTGATTCGATTATGTACACAGAATCCTTCTTCCTGAAATACAAGAAACACAAGAAAGTATTTTAAAATATGGGGATTAAAATCGACGGATGGATTTTATTCACCCCTCTCCTCGTCCCCTTCCCAAAGTGGACCAAACGGGAGAATCTAACGAACGGGCAACGGAACTTAATGAGATTTCCCGTCATAAACTTTTATTGAAGTGCTCGTTAAGAGAGGCGAAGTTTAATTGCGCGCGTTTAGGCGGCACGATTCGGGCGCAACAAGCGTTTTCGGGCCCCCCTCCCCCTCCGCTCCACCCCCGGGAAGACACTGTTCCCGACGTAATTAACAACGTTTCAACGTTTAAGGGGGAGAAATTTTGCAGAAACATATTGCCCCCTCGAGAATCTGCCTCGTCGTTTAATCCTCGCCTTCGCAGCTTCGTGCACGCAATTAAATCGATAAGTCGATTTAATTTAACGTGCCCTCCATATTTTCATTTGAATTTAATAATCGAACCGATATCAATAGAGAAATATTATGCTCGATTACGAGATTTTTCCAATTTTCTTTTCTTGAAAATTTTTAACTATTCGAAAAAATCGGATATAATCTATTATACATATTATTATACATTATATTATATATATTATATTATTATAATATAATTTTATATATATATATAAAGTGGAAGGAAGAAATAATTTTTTTTAAATATATATATATATATAAAATAAATTATATATAATATATAATATATTATAATAATATAATGTATAATAATATATATATAAATTTTTTTTTATGAATAGAATAATTGGATCGAATTTCCAAATTTTTTTAAATCGTATTTAATATTCGAGTTAATAAATTCTCGTACAGCTCGTTTTTCTTAAATCTCGATAAAATATCGTGTAATTGAGATATATGTGAAATACTCACGTTCACGTGTATTCCATCGACCTCGAATATGGTGTAGGGCGGATCCGCCTCGGACAGGTATCGATAAAATTCCGTGTCTTCGAGGAACCATTGTATCGTGTACAATGGCAATCCTTCCAGATCGTAATGGCAGGAGAGTGTCACTGTGTCGCCCGATCGCACAACCGCTGGCACGTTGATCGTCAAATCCTTCAACCCCGTCGCGCCTGTAATCGAACAATTCCCAACGATTTTATATACGTGTATATATATATATAAAGTAAAAAAAGGAATAAAAAAAAAAAGAGAAATGCGATCGAATCGCGGAACAGTGACTCGTATAAATTTTATAACACTGGTAACAGGAACCACACTGTGAAATATAATCCTATTTTTATTTGCATCATGTGTATAAATGTTGCAGGTACGTGTATATATTTCTTCGAAAAAATGTCAGGACGATTTTGATAAAAAAAATTTTATTTTGGGAAAAAAAAAGAAAGAATGAAAGAAAGATTTGATAAATGCTTTACAATTCTTGCATTTCGTGAATTTTGGTGAATCGATAATAATTCTTTACGTTGCCAGTTGGATCAGAGGAAAGAGATTAGTAAAATAGTTCGTTATATTTTTTTTTTTTTATTTCAGTTTTAAGTGATACGAAACTTTAGTTAGAAAGAAAAATTGTTCGAAGCTTATATATTTTTCTTTTTGTAATGTATAAAAGGCCAATTTGCGACACGTTAATTATTACGAATTATCGAATTTCTGAAGTATCCGAGTAATTCATAAATTAAATTGAAAAAAAAAATCTTTAAATAGGTTGTTTATTATTCTATTTAGAGATATTCCCTGTGAAAATGTTAGAACGCGCAATTAAAACCCGTTTCCCTGCTGCTAATCACGTAGTAAAGTCCGTTTAAACCGTCAAGTATCTCTTTAAACGGATAAGCAACCCTTGTAAAGTCTAAGCCTCTTGACGCTTCACGGTTTCTTCTTCTATCTCCTCTCCCCTTTTGGCCAAAAAATACGATTTTTCGGAACAGAATTTTCTCTCCAACTTACCACGGATCGAAATTTTTTACTTTTATAATACTCGATCACGCGAAATTCCTAAAAAAAAGATGATTCAATTATTATTAAAAACAACAATTTCCTTATATATTTTTTTTTATAAAAAAAAAAAACCTCCTCTCAAAAAATAATCTAATTACCTCCCCTTTCGATAACAATTTTCTATTTCTAAATTATATATCTACCGATTAATCTTAATTTAAAAAAAATTAATATTCTTATAATTATCAACCCTATATGAACAATTGATGAAATTGCAATAATTGATTTTATATCATACTGTATTAAACATATTAATCTTAATAACTCCAAATAAATTTACTACAATTAAAATTTTTCTAAAATAAATAAATTCAATTTTTATAATTATTATTAATCCGTAGTATCCCATATCCTCCTAATTTTAATATAATCGATGCTAAAATTATTGACCCATAATAAGGTGCCTCTACATGAGCAATTTAATAATCATCCATGAGCTTTCAAAGAAAAAATTATTCTCCGATTCTGAAACACCGAACAATAATAAATTCCATTCCATCGATCGACGCTACGAAACTCAATCCCAGATATTCCATGGGAAACATTTTCAACGTAGGAACGCGAATTTCCATGCACCGCTCTTCCGCTCCGTTCCGCCATTCGTCCCGCCCGTTCGATTCGATTTCCGGCCAAGAGTACACACGCGCGAACAACCGCGTTGTATCCGTTGTCCCCGACTCTCTAATTTCATCAGTTCTCCTTCAACGGGGAGCGAAAGAAGTCGCGGCTCGAAACAACGCCACTCCCTCCCCCTTCGTCCTCCTCGACGCGGATGAACCGATACGGAGAGTAGAGGCACGTAGAATTGATTTCTTTCTTTCTTTTCCCTTTTCCCTCTCTCTCTCTCTCTCTCCTGTATATATATCGATCCAGAGTCGCAGATGTTCCATTTCGCGCGCCCTGTTTTTCTTTTTTCTTTTTTTTTTTCTTTTTCGTTGCATTCGGCAAATGGGATCCAACCCCCTTCCCCTCTCTTTTCAGACGCGAGATTTCTCCTCGTGGCGGGCCACGAAAGGTGCCGCGTTGTGATGGATCCACAATCGGGGACGATGCTCGGACGTTTGAGAGTTTAATTGTCGTCTCATTTTTTGTTCGTGAAAAATTGGTTTCCTTTTTTTTTTTTTTTCTTTTCTTTTTCTTTTGGAAGCGACGGTGTTACGGAGATCTATAATTATTCGTAGTATTCTGTCTTGTGTTTTATCTAATATAAATAAAGGGAAGAGGAATTGGATGCACGAATGTTTTAAAAAATAAGAATGCTGTTATTTATTTCATTTCACCACATTCATTTTTAAGTAGTAACTATCTTTTTTCAACTCGTCATAAAGATTCATGCAACAGGGGGTTAAGTGTGAGGAGATGCGTTATTCGGTATTTATATACAATCTTTTTACGAACGTGTTTATTCACGTCGAAAAAATTATTGTCACACGCGATCTTCTCCAACGCGTTATATAAATTATTCCGAGCATTGAATTGCAGATATTTGTATAAATTAATATATATATATATATTTTTAAATAATACACGTATCGTGACAACTGTGTATACGAAGAATTATCATTTTTCCAATATCAGAATGATAATAATCATATATATATATATATAATATATAATGAGAACAACAAACGAACACGCGAATGCAAATTGGCTAAAATAAAGAAAAATCGATTTTTAGCTGATAACGAGCAGTCGCCTTTAAATTTCTTTTTAATTCACGCGATCGTCCGAAAAATCGGTAACCAGGGATTTTTAAGAGAAGAGTGCACACATTCCACGTGCGCTTCCATGGAATAGCCGTACAGGCGTGGGTCGTGGTGATACACACAAGTCCCGACTTATTCAGGGATGAATAAGTTCCCAGGGGAATCCAGTTTCCTTCTTCTACGAGCCGAACGATATTGCCAATCCCACCGTGCAGCTATGGAACAATAACTCGATACCGAGGAATCATCCTCTCCCTCGTGTTCACCTTAATCCACCTTGAAACGCGCCTTGTCCTTTGTTACTACTCTTGCTTACTCTTTCGTCACTTTATTGGTTTTCTTTTTTATTTTTAATTCTAACTTTTGATTCGTGTACGGTTCAACGATGCTAAAAATAGCAGTAAGAGTTGAGCAAGTTGAAGATAAAGAGGGTTGGTAATTATTTTCCCCCTTTTTTTTCTTTTTCACGAAACACTGCAATAGCATGAAAGGTTTGGAATGAAGTTGGATAACTAACTTGGATAAACTAGCGCCACTCGTGTGAAAAAAAGGAAATTCTAGAACTCGATCAAAAATGGATCCTTAATAAAATTGAAGGAGATAAATAAACGCTTAAATTAGAATAATAAAATATCTGCTAAAATCATTATTACTAATATTATTCGTCTGATAAAATATATTATGTTATTTTAATTAAAACCACGCGAAATTGTTAGAATTTTTTAACGTCTCCACTCCACCTCTTCCATCTATTTCGAACTTTTCGAATTCAAGCGATAACTCGCTTCGAAAGTTTGACCAACACTTCGTGCCGATCATCTAATTAACGCGAGAATATTCTAATAAAGGGAGAGGAGGGGGGAGAGAAGAACTTGCGCTTTTCACAGACATCGGTTACACATCGATCTCCGCGCCGTTGGGATTCGAATTGACGCGTCTAAGGGAGGATGACGTGGGTTTTGACAGGGACGATCGAGATATTCCGGGCATTCGGATCGATCGGGAATCGCGTATCGCGTGCAAATTAGTCCGTCAATTTTGGAATTCCATTGGCTGGAATCTGGTTAACTCACGATGAAAATCGTGATGCACCTTTGCTTTTCGCCTATTTGCACGGGATAATTGGCGATTCGGGGGGGGATGGAGGGATGGACATTCCGTGCATCGTGAAGAAAAATATAAAATTTTTTTTTTTTTCATCAATAAGAGTTCCAATTGATTATTGGAATTGATCGGTATTAAAGAGGTCGATTTTATTAAATTATTTTCAAGTAATAATTAAACAGAATTTCTATATTATAATTTATGAATTCGATGAATATAGACAAAAGGAATTCTCTTCATTGTTTCGCGATATTAAAATATATAATTTTATTAGGGGAATGTATGAATAAGTTCTTTCTATTCGCGATTAATGAAAATTTTGAAAATTATCAGAAATCAGAATAATAATATAATTATAAAACTATCGTGTTATATCGTCGAGTAACGCAATAAAGATAAATGCATTGATGATGATAAAGTTTTGTTTGTCGAAATATTATCGGCCAAAATAAACAACTTTAAGTGTAATCAACAAATCTCATCGTCGATCGATTAACTCAGCAAATTTGCAATTTATTTGCCTAAGATCGGAAATAAAAATGAAAGGCGAGGCGAGGTTGCACACGTAGAGAATTTTCGCGGTGGATTAAATCCCGGATATCGATACTGTTAATCGTTGAAACGTTTGAAACGGAACAGTGGTCAGCAAAAGCTTACCGTGGCGGTTTTTTCCTCGACTCCGATTAATTGGCTGTCCACGAGAAAAACTTATATACATGCACGCGCGAGAATTTCGATTTTCATTCGATTAACGACACCGGTTTCGCGTCGAAAATGCTCCTTTCCTCCTCCATTATATCATCGACGAATATTTTCCACCATATCCCCCCCCCCATTTCACGAGTGATTACCAATTTTCGCGTCGCGTGAAAAGAGGATTCATCGATTGTCAAAATTGGTAAATACGAATCGAATCGCCAAACATACGACGCCCCAACTTTTCATTTTGTTCTCCCTTTCGACCGAATAACCGAGAGATATTATTAAATCGAAGAGCGATTCCAATTCGCGCGAGAAACGAACATTTGGATTGTGATACGATGGATGATTTTGTATGCGTGAAAAAAATAAATAATAGAATAAATGGATATTGCTCCAATTTCTGGGGATATCTAAGCGAAATACAGGATGCCCCATTTATGTTTGAACCTAGCTCTCGGCCTAATTACGCGGATAATTATCGGCGCTGATTGGTAGACAAGCCCGTGTGAACCGCTAATGAATATGGATAAATCGTAAGTGGGGCGATGTTGGTTTTCGACAAAACCGCGCTATGGTGTAACTAATTTGCTGGGTGTAGC